GCTAGGCGCTCGGAGCATTCGCTAGCATTCCATTGCCAGCTGCATTATCAACGCCACATTTGCATTACTCTGGGTGCATCATAAGTAACAGTAGGTGAACCGGCCACAGCAAAACCATGCTTCATTATCCTTTCCTTCCAAGCTGCCAAGCTAACCGGCCGCCCGGCCCACCACCGCGATATGGAACAACACTGGAGTGCGCCATTTGCCTACGGCAGTGCCCCACCGCGCCGGGGCTGTGACAGGTCACCCGCACCGTGACCTCGACACCCGCCCCCCCTCCCCGCCCGCCTCCCCATCGGGCCCAGCTCGGTAGTGACCTCTCCTTGAATTTGACATGGACTCGACTAAGGCTCAACGCCATCTAGTTACGTCTGGAGATCCTAATAAGATCCACTGTACATACGTTCGGTCCAACTAATAAATCGATTTAAGAAATACCGGAAGCACTTCAGCAATTAGGTACAGGGCTTCTACATATTCGCACTGTGCGGAAGCCCTAACAATAAGGGCAAAGGCGTGCTATCCTATTTCCATGGCGCCCTTCCGTCATTGGTGACCCAAAAGATGGTGTCGAGCTATGAAAGGCCGCTCAAGAAAGAAACAAACTCTTCACGAAAAACAAGCATGTATACTATACCCAGATTCAGGATAAGTGCGCAAGTAGGCAGTAGCTATTTGTTTACAGCAAATTTGCGGATCAGTCTTCAAAAAGCCCGATCCTAAAAATGCTGAGGAAGCGCACTGTTTGTGACATGATTTCCCGAGACTGGGTTTAGCTAGGCAGAAAGGCACATTGTTTCAGATTGCATGACCGTGGAGCGTACCTCATTCAAATGGCACCACCATGTGGTCAAGTTCATGACAGCCAGCCATTTGCAAAGTCAAATGACTGCACTCACGCAGGCCATCGCGGTAGCGGGGTGCGCGTTACATAACCTGGAAGATAAACCAGATGTTCTGCGCTACTTACGAGACGAAGGATAAGAGCCTCTTTATGCGCATGTATTCACCAGCAAAACTATGCGGCTGCTAACTAAATCATGGTGATTTTGCTAGCGAAATTAGGAAGCATGGTATGACGAACACTATGCATGTCTCGATTAATTATCTCTAAGTACATTAGAAAGAAAAGATATTATATGTATATCAAAATTTAATTATAACAACCAGTGAATATAAGTATTATTATCGTCTTTAAATATTTTGAACGTCATTAGGTATAAAAGTAGACATGAATGTACCAGGGAAATAGTTAAAAATCCCACGAATATTCCTTTCAAGGCTATGGCGATGATTCCTGGGCGGTGTTTCACGGCACGCTGCCAGCCACTGCCAGCTACGTGGCACTTTGGGTTTCCATGGAGACATCAACAAGCCCAATGCTCCAACACTACCACAAGTGTGACGTCAGCTCGCGAGATGCGCTGGCAGCGGCTGGCAGCGTGCCTTGAAACGGGACCCTGGCTTCAAGGGGTAAAAGGAAGTAAAGCTTTCGGATCTCGCCTTTATAACCAAAGCTTTAGCAGTTGACCGGAAGTTATTAGAAGTTGGCCTCTTAAAACACGGCCATGACCCTATTATAAGTTTTCCTGACAGGAGCATTGAGCGTGCTTTACCTCGGGCCGCTGTTGCCAGGCTGCGCCGCTTGCACGAGTTTGGGCCGTGGAGTAGAGGTGGCAAAATGTGGACCCGAGGACCCGGCCCATAGACCAGGTCTGGACCCATATGGGTCCAAACCGGTTCTTGGATATGTTCTCACGGGTCCAATCGGGTCCTACCATGAACCATACTTCTTACATACTAAACCTGATTGCAAAATATGCAGTGAATGGAATGAAAGCATATGCTTATGGTAAGATTCTTTGCACACTCTACCTCGTAAGCATTCCCAGTTGGGAAAAGGCTGTTTCTTTATGCAACTAATGATACCTACCTACAAAAGTTTGTATTCTTTGGCTTTTGGGGAACGGGTCCAACTGGTTCCGATTAAGAACTAAGACCAGGTCTGACTGGTTCTAGAAATGTCCATTGCCCAGTCGGGTCTAATTCGGGTCTGGTTCCAAAAAAAAAAAAAACAATCATCTTTTGCCACCTCTACCGTGGGATTCGACGGCAGCGCGGCTGGCTGTCTGCCTCAGCCTCCGCCGGTCGCGGTAGGCTGTGCCGCGCGACGCGGGTGTGCACCGGCACAGTCTACCAGGACAGGGTGGCGGCTGGATCCGCAATGCTGCATGGAACTGGAAGGAAACGCGCGCCGATGAGTGGATTGGTTTGTTGTAGCGAATGGTTCATGCAGAGAACATACTAAGCAGCGCTTGCTATTTAGGCTCTGGACCCTGCCGCGATGGATTTGGAAATCTGAGGAGATGGCAGAAGATAGTCGAATCGAATCGAATGTGCCCACGGGTCCAACTGGTTCCGATTCTAACTAAGACCGGGTTTGAGCAGTAATCGCCACGCACTTTGTATGTGGATCGCTCTTAAATGTAAATACAAATACAAATACATATACCGGGCACGGTCCGTACGCGAAGTTATTTTGAAGGCTGAAAGGTCTCAATTTCCAACAGAGGGCCGTCGGTTCAATTTCATATGCGATGTATGCCACGCTGCGGTAATTAGTTCCAGATAGATCAACTTTGAAACAGCAGCTAGTTGAGCCAGCTGTGTTTGAGGGTGCTGGCATAGCTACTCGGTCGCATAGTGTTAGGAGCAGGGTTAACGTGATGGGACAAAGAGGTCTGCCGTTTCTGGGCACGGCCATAGCACCGACAGGCGAACCAACGCCGCAAGAACTACTTTAGTGGCGATATGGCGCCGTCAACTGGAGCTGAGCCAGCCACCGCCGGGCCGAGCCACAGCGCCGCGCGCCAAGACTGCAGCGGACCGAGTAACGTGTAAAGAAGCGGGTCGAGCCACGGACCCCTTTGTTCCCATAATGCGACACGTCTGTCACACGCTGTGCTGACAGCCCCCGTTCACGAGCTCCAGAATCCCTTTACCGTGACGTCACCACGACGGCAGAATCTCCCTTCACCCATAGGCATGCATGCAAATTTCATCATCTTTCGAGCGAGCGGAAGAAAAAAAAACAAGGATTATGTATCATCAAAGGTTGTACCAATGTAACAATGAGTTCGCCTCATTACGATAAATGGGGCTGAAACTAAAAAATAGGACTATATCGAGCCAAAATCAGCAATTCAAATGACCCATTCATTTGAACGTGAAGGATTTCCTCTGATGACGTCACCACGGCGCCTTTATTTCCCTAGTGAACCAACCTCAGTAGTAAAGGAATATTGGTGCTGACCAGGATTCGTCCCAATGAATATGATAAAATATTAAGGACAGACGTTTCAAAAGGCTAACCCTGAGTCACGTGAGCTGAACCGGCACTGCTACTTGATGTTGATAGTTGACCCATCGGTTAGTCAATAAATCGGTACTGAACCCCATCCACTGCGAACAAGCACTTTTTAACGCGCTTATTGCATAAAGCACAAGGCATCGTAGCCCATACTTCAAGGAAAGCATAGATCAATTAAAGCATTTCTCAGAGAAATTTCAAAGCCATTCTTTCACCACGTCTTCTTCATCCATTCTCTTCGTCCGGTACATGAAGATAATGCTTACCAGATCTCTACTACGTTCACGTGGATTTGCATGCAGCCAACCCATTGAATGGAGATTGGATGCATGACACCCAGGGGAACGATGCCGAGAAGTTTACAGCGAGTACACAAGGCCAATGCCTGGTTACATCGTTGATAAGTGGAAGTTCCTCGGCCGCATTTTATGCAAGGGGTTTTGTATTTACCTCCAGGGAATATTCATTAATCAAGGAATCATTTAGCGTAATCAGGCGGCGAGTTGTTGGCGATTTTTCCCCGGTTCCGGTGGTGCCGACAAGTGAGTCGGCGGTGGCCCGGGCGGCGCGCCGGCGCCGACCGGCTCGTCGGCTGCCGCGTGTCCTCAGTCTGGCGGCGGGGAGCCAGGCCGCGCCACCTCCAGTAGACATGGGTGAGCCGGAGAGGGCCTCGGCCGACTCGGCGGCCGGGCCGCGGGTCTCCGCCGTCACCTCCGCTGCCGCGCCAGTGTCCGTGGTGACCTCCATTGCCGGCCCGGCCGTCCGCGTGCCGGCCACCTCCTCCGGCGCGGCCTCCGCGACCTCCGCCGTTGGACCGCTCGCCGCGCGGGCCGCCAAGCCGTCCGCGCTGTCCCCCGTGCCGGCAGTGTGTCCCGTGCCGAGCACGGGTCCCGCTGTGAAGTCTCCGGCGCCCTCAGGGGGCTCCCCGGCGTCTCCCGTGGCGGCCGGGGCGCCGCTGGGACGGCCTGGCGGTTCCTCTCCGTCCGGCGCGCCGGCCCGATCCCCCGTCAGCAGCGCGCCTTCCTCGGCTTCCACAACGACCTCGACATGTGTGCCGGCGTCGGGCGCGGCGCGGCCGCCGCCGGTGACATCTCCGTCGGACCCTGCGCGGGGCGTCACCATCATGGTGAGGCCCGAGGAGCGGCCAGCGCCCGCGCCGCGGCCCAAGCCGCCGCGACGGCTCGTCAAGCAGATGTCGATGGCGGCGATGCTGACGGGTCCGCGCGGCGCCGGCGGCAGCGCGAGCACGCCGTCCGAGCAGCGTGGCGTGCTGCGTCGCTCCTCGTTCAGCGAGGACTACTTCCCGTCGGCGCCGGTGGTGGACGTGCCCCCCGTGGCGCTCTGCACGCCACTCGGACCGGGCGTCGTGCTCAAGAAGACGCTGGACAGCAGCCAGGCCCAGCGGACGCGGCGCTGCTCGCTCACACAACCATGGGCGACGCTGTACGGCAGCTGGCAGCTACCGCAGCCGTTCAGCGCCGCCTCCAGCCGCAACGGCAGCACCGAGGGCATCCGACGCAAGAGCAGCACGGGCCGCGGCTCGCGCGACACGCCCGACACCACGGGCGAGGCGGCCACCGGCCTGCTGAGCCGACATAAACCGGTTCTGTTTGCCCGTCATTTGCAGAAGGTGACGCGCAAGGACTTCGGCTCGGAGGTGCGCGCCTCGCTGGACGTGTCGCTGTTCATCAAGGAGGCGCAGCTGCTGCTCGACGTCGGCGAGATGTCCGTGGAGGGCGTCGTCGACCAGATGCTGCGCGCCATGCTCGAGGGCGAGCCGATGACGTCGCTGGCCGAGGCCAAGTCGGTCGTGTTCGTGCACGATTCAGGTGAGTGACGGGCTGCCCCGTATATTTGTCCACGTGTTTGCTTGTTTACGTGTTTGTTTGTTTGTTTGTTTGTTTTGTTTGGCCAGACCATGTCAGTCAGAATATCTGGACCCAGGCATAAGAAAGTACTTGCGCGTCATGCCTATTGACGTTTTATGTGAGCTGCCAGCGCTGCAACGAGTTCAACACAGTCACTGTTCCGTCGTTCTCTTTCTATTCTATCAAGTTGTGCTGATCCACGCGCGTTAGGTCACAACGCTGAGAAAAAACACCCATAAGAGGCTTCGCTGCTTGCAAACTGCAAAGCACGAATCCATCCGCTGTATAGAAGACGCCGAATATGTTCATGGGCGTGGTGAAGTGATGCCATGCTGAAGCACATAAAAAGTTAGTATCAGTGGTCCCATACCACCAAAAGGGCTTCAATGTCCTTCGACACTAGCCAGAAAAAGCTCACAGAAGCCCGCCAAATCCCTACCGCGTCTGTTTGGCATGTCAGGCGGCGGTTAGCCTGACCCGATCACCGTTAACCACATTTACGAGGCATCACGGAGCTACACAGCAACACGCTCGTAATTTATGGGCTGATGGTGTTAATTATACGAGCGCGTTGCGCGGGGTACGAGCTCGGGACGCCTCTCCGGACCATCGGTGGTTCGCGTCGGTGCAGTTCATTGACGGTAACGGCCACTTGGATTGTCGGCCTGTGCCGGAGGCCATCCCGGGGGCGGCTGAGGCCCCCGCCGAGCGGCTCCGCGGGTCGTGCCGGAACACATTCAATCGACGTTAGAACGACGATGCTGTGTCTGAGATCCGCATGACCCACTGGCGTTACAGTTATGGTATTCAGTGGATAGAAGATGAGCCCATGAATTGTGCTTATAGGCTAGCTTGTTCGTTAGCAATCAGTGGCCGAACGGAGCTGGGGAAGAGTGCCTCTCCGTCGATTTTCAGCGTACCCAAAAAAGGCGTGGCTACCCAGAGCTGAGAGCTCAATCACCCTAATTTCACCTCTAACCATTTTTTGTTCATGAAAAAATTGAATAGGTCGGACCACTAAGCTTATGAGGTAAATGACAAGACTCTAAAAAATTGAGTCCTATGTCAGATGTACCTAAGCGTCGGATGTATTTTTATTACGAGCTCGTTGCAGGAAAGAAGTGTCGCCAAGCAGAGTAACGCCAGGTAAAGTCGTCAGTCATCCTCAAACAACATAGCAAACATATGTAAGACACCGTATACCAAAAGTTAGCAAATAACACAAATTCTAACTAAATGTCCTAAATCTACACCGTTTCTATCTAGCGCTCACAATGGCTCACGTCCGCCGTGGACCATCAGCCACCCAGTGGCTGTGGTTGACCAATGACCATCAGTGGCTGTCGGTTGCGTCAGCCCCTGACATCCGACGCCGTTCAGTTACCGTGGCAGCCTGCGTCTACCATGGCCGAACCGTGCTTACTATGGTCATGGTCAGACTGCAGTTGCCATGGCCGCCACACAGCTGCACCGTGACTGTTCTGTTAGCATGGACCATGGCCAGACCGAGCTGACGGCCTGCAGTTACCATGGCCATGATACTGCAGTTGGCATGGCAGCTCTAGAGCTAATGACAGCTCCGCAATTCACACGGGTAGACTGTAGTCACCGTGAGCGAACAGCAGCGAGTCTGCAACTGCACTAGTCAAAACTGAGTAGCCAACGCCACAGTACAGTCACCATGACCGAATTATGTCTCGTACCATGGCCAGACTGCAGTTACAGGTTTGCAGTTAGCATGGCAGCTATAGAGTTACCATGGTTGCCGTGCAGGATTGGCTGGACTGCAGCCGCAGTTATCATGGCCAAGGGCAGTTACTATGGCCGGATAATTGTAGCAAAGAGACTAGCAGCGACCAGTGGAGAACTGGAGAAAAATGGTCATTTTGCAGCTGCCATACAGCAGCCATCCTGAAGTGAATTCACCCATTTTGCTGTTACCACGACTGGTCTACTTTCACCTCCGTTTCCAACTCCGTTTCCTTACTTTCCTCCATTACCGTATAGCGTACAGTTACCATGGCGGTGCTACGAAGCTACAGTCCCTCTGCCATGCCATACACAATACAACCACTATGTTATACTCCATGTATAGCCACAATGCTATACAGTATAGTCATCACCCCATACACCATGTATAGCCACCGTGTCATAGACTGGGGCCGCCACTCAGCCCCCGCTCCCCACTCAGTATGTTACCAGGCGGCCGGGCACGGTTAGCGGCCGGATCACGTCGCCCCCATGCAGATTAATGTCGCCGGGCCATCCCGACAGACCCACAATAACGACCTGTACCGACAGCCCGAGGTCGGACAGACACCAGCCGTGTTTGTCATCTATTAGCCGCAGGATTGGCCCGGACGGCGGCGGCGAAAATCAGACCAGGCAATACGACTGACGGGGAAGGACTAGCGAAACGAGTGAAAGTACGAGCATACAGGAGCATGGTTTGACGGTTGCGGATTACCAGCGAACAAGTTCAAAATTGCGACATCACGAATCTGTTACCTAGCGTGCACTATTCAACATTCGTGGATGCATTTTAGTTATGAAATCAAACCACCCATATGTACAATATTTCATGTGGTGAATGGTTGGACCAGTGAGCCATGCTTATGAAGAGTTCGTCATGGGCGATGGCGAAAATCAACAGAGATAGAGATTGATGTAGGCGTTTTCCGGCTCCAGCCTCCCACTTCTGGGGATAATGTGGTCATTTGTGACGTCACAGAGGGCGTTCAGAAGTAGCCCGTGAGGCGTTTTAAAGTTGTCGCCTTCATTCAGAGGAGCTCAATGGGCTCGTTTCCGTCTAGACGCTTATTTCACACAAATGGTGCAGATGTTTTAAAAACGACGAGACGGCTATTTTGTGCTACTATTGCAGACACATGTTGGCTTCTACAATGATGTTTTTATTTAGTTTTAAGTGAAATAATGGCTTATGATGTTGAACAATGACTGTTTCACTCTGCGATTTTTAGCATCGCTCAGCCCGTGTACGGGGACCCGCAGTTGCTACTGTACACGAACCCCAAGTCCAACCGTCTGTCTTGTCCAGTAACAGCCGATAACATTGATATCAACTGCCAGTCCCTGTACAAGAGCAGCTGAAGTTTTCTGTGCGTGCCCTCTGACAGCTTATCGTTGTTCCCTGTGAAGGTGCTGGGAAAATTTACTTAGGGTCGCTGTACAGTAGCAACTGCGGGTCCCCGTACATACAAGCCTGTGCTGGCAGTAGCTCAACTGCGCTGCGCTAAGGAGTAAAAGGACGCCATCGAATAGCGTCCGGCGGGTGACTGCATCCTTTACTGGAGAGCGATGTCCCGCAGTTCGGTCGGTCCCAACGGGCTCAGCTATCGGACAGAGAGGTGTTATTCTGACATTGGTCACACGGCAGAGGCAATGCGGGCGCGGTGAAAAATGGCATCGAGGCCAGAATACTAGGACAGGTTCCATGACTTCATTAGGACGTCCTTCGACTCTCTACAGTTGACGATGACCGCGGTTGAAAAGCTTGCTAACGATGAAATGTTTATGAAGATTGGATGAATGATAATTTCACCGGCGTTTATCGGTAGAACGAAACAAAATCAAAGGTAATTGCTAAGGCGAAGGTAAACAGACGCAGATGACACGATTCCAGTTTTGTATTGTATGTGCCTATGCGTATAGTCCATCGCACTATAATGTGTCCCCGTGCTTCAGCTTCCCAAAGCATTGCTGACTTCCCATTACACAAAAGAAACGATGTATGCCCCGTTTAAGCGAAAATCGACACAAAAGTGAAACGAGTGGGTTAGTAGGAAGGAAAGAACTACAATCCCTAAATATTTTAAATACTGCGATGTGCAATGTGCATAATGTTTATCTCATTTTCAATGAACACCGAACCAAAATGCATAGAAATTGAATACCGCTGGATCATTTTATGGTCGTCTCCTTTAGGGAGAGTTACGGACATGTGCACAGATCCGAGAGAATACATAGATGTGGGATCTGATCCCACGGATTCTGATCTCGGATCCGATGGGATCATACATCCAGCTCTTTAATTTATCGAGAGATCTATTGAGATCATAGATCCGAGCCTAATTTATTACTCGAGATCCAGTGAGATCCTCACTTATTTTTTGGCAACGCAAAAATCCTGAAGATACACTTCTTGCAACCCACAACAGTTTTGTTTTAGTTATTTCATGCGATTACACGCCATAATTCATAGTTTTGTGGCACTTATTGACATAGAAACGCTTAGAAACATGCTTTCCACAGATCCACGTTCTGGGTTTAACGTCGGATCCTATGATATAATACATAGATCAATGATATATTTTTCATGCGAAATTCGTTGGGATCATATATCCTCACATGCAGTTTTACACTGAGGTTGATAGATCCATCACTCGGACCCATGGCACATGTCTTGAGAAAGATAACTCTGAGCATTGTGTAATGTGCAATTTCGAGTACTCCCGGTTGGCGACCTTTAGCTTTGCAAGGTTCTTGGGTCACAGTGTGTCACTTATCAGAACAGCCATTGGCTGCATTGCACACCAGTGTCGTATGTAAAACCAATCACGTACACCACCTACACATAGGAAGCTTTCGGCAGGTACGGACATGACTTGAATTTAATCCCAATGCTTTATCCTGATCTCTGTAAAATAATTGCAACGTATCACGGTTTAGAGATAAAACAGCAAAAAGCAATAGAGGTCAGGATGATTCATGAAAAAGCAAACAACAATCATCGACCTCAGGCTTTAACGCTATTTGTGCGAAAATTACATCGGCGTTCGGAAGCCTATGTAATAAAACATCATCATATTATTTGATAACCCATCTAAAAGCAATCAGGTGGAACCAGTACTAATTCATTTCAATTCAATAGCATTTCATTTCTCCCAATCTAGCGTCGCGCCACCGTTTCCTTATTCAAAATAAGGCGTCGGCATGCCTGCTTTACATC